TGAAGATTATTTCTATACCAATGAAGATTCTTCCTGGATTTTAGTGGAAAGTGACTGGGCAATGTGACATGATACTTGAGTTTATGAAATGCAAGTTCTCGCTTCAACAAGTTCAAGTAAATACCATGTGTAGGCAGATAAGTGTGACCCATGATATGACTTTTCTTGATTTTTAAAAACATTTCCTGATTTGATGATCCCTTCCCTAGGGAATAGCTTAATTTGCATATCTCTTGGGAATAGTTGAATTTGCATATCCTCACATGAGACCTGAACATTGAAAGATCTTTAAATATGTCAAAAATTCAAGGAAAAGTTACAAGTGCAAAGTTTTATACCATAAAATGTAAAAACTTGAGGCTTTTTCCATTCTGTAAGCTTAATTTCACCTTTTTTCTCAAGCATATTCTTTCACGCGCAAATTTCAAACTTTTTTTGCGCGTGAAAACTCAACATTTGAAAATTACTATTGAAAATGGGAAATTAAGGATGGATGTGCAAATCCCAAGGGACTTGTTCAAATGTGAAGTTTTCACGCGCAAAAAAGGTTAAAATTTGCGCGTGGAAGATAAAGATAGAATTAAGATTTCCGAATAAATGTAAAATGTCCAAGACCCCCTGGGAATCACCTAATTTGCATATTTTCACGCGCAGATTTTTCACGCGCGCGCAAATTTTTCACGCGCACAAAACCCCATCCCGCTGACAAGACAAGACGTGACAAATAATCACAGCAACATATAAGGTGGCATAACAGTCAATTGCATTATTCTATCATAAAAATTTTCTACAAAGGAACTTTAAATCTATGAAAGTAGAGTAATTTTTACACCTGCCAAGCCACCATCTTTGGTTGGAGGTACTACTAGTATACCAAGCCTATCTGGCTTTTGGGTATTATTGAATTGTTGCCAGCTTACGTCAGAGATTTGGTAACCATTTATTTTTGCAACCTTACCCTTGAACTAAAGCAGGATACGGGAACTCCAGACAGGACGTAAACAAAACCCCACAGTCTGAAAAAGTGACAGTGATACCTTTGTCAACAGGAAGCCACCTTGCAAGGTAGCACATTCAGTAGACCTGTATGTAACATGACATAACACTAGAAAGGCCAATATTTGCTTTGGAGCAAATACAGCGATGGGTTCACCACATTTTACGACATGGCAGGGAAAGAATGAGAAACACAAGGGAAAACAATGATTTACATTGATATAACTATAATATGAAGTAAAATACAACTAAAACAACAGTTGGATAGCTATTCCCTACTTTATTGGTTAGGATTTTTAATTGCATAATGCAAACTGTTGATTTTCAAAATAAAAAAAACGTCCATGCCCCGCATTCCAATGCTGGAGCAGGAAAGCTTGAAATACCTACCAAAACACTTGAATACAGACATACTGTCAGTATGGAAATGCGCTGTGCAGGTGTTAATCAAGTTAAATCCCAACAGCCAATCAGCAAGAAAAGAAGAATAGAGGAAAGCTGCATGCCTATTGGTTGATGCCCTGCATTCCATTGTGTTGACTTATGCCCAAACGTGGTAAACAAGGCACACTAATACAGTAATACATTTGCTATAACACAGCCAAAAAACTCAAATAAAACCATTCTAAAAGCCTGTATCACAATAATTTAAAAAACGCCTAGGGGTATTTGCCCACTGTACCTCCATACCAAATTTCAGGACCTTGGGCCCTAAAATGAAGAAGCTGAATCCATTTAAAAAATGGCAGGAGGAGGAGAAGAAGAAGAAACATCAGAAAAAGCAATATG